CAAGAACTGAAAATAGGCATCCCATTTGTCCCTTCCCACTATTTAATATAAAGATGCTGCTTCTCTATAATAAAATTGAAGGAATAGAATCCTATTAACAGCTCATCACCACATCGTAATCTGAAGAAAGGCAAGATAAGACACCACCATACCAAAAGAGCCTCTTGCTTAAATTTTAGCTGGCATTTAGTTAGGCAGGAAGAAACAGGACCAAATCACTGATTAGCACTGATAATGGCCCAAGTGAAGCTTTTATTTAAAATCTTCCTTATTTTAATGCCCCTTGAGAGGCTTTGGGACTGTAATTCCCAGAATGCCAATCCATCTTAGAAGTAATCAAACACACCTGGAAGATGCTACCATAAGTAGGGAAGAATGGGATTGTCAGGTAATACACCTTTTCTGTAGCTACTCCTGCTCTCTTGTGCCACCTGGGGTTCACCTGACCCCCAATTTTGTAAGCCTACACTATTGGTGAATGGTGAATTCTATTTGTATTAACAAGCTGGGAAGTTTTTTTTTTTAAAAATGTGCAGTTTGACCCAGGGTGCCTACATTTTTGGATAGAACTACAAATACGTGAGTGACAATGTAGTAAGATTTTTCAAATACCTTAGTATCTTCTGAAGCTTTCTTTTCTACTGTGTTTTCTAATTCTGGTAAATATTACCTTCATAGATATTTCTTTGCGTTGCAAAAATATTTTCTAACAAATTTATCTTGTGGCATTTATTTTCCAGCAAAACCCCCAAATACCATAGTCATTAGGATTAGAAATATTATAGAGTATCCCGCACTTTCAATTTCTCCACAAGTTTCTCAATTAAAAAAGGTACAACAGAAAACAATCAAAACTAAAAGGGGCAGATTATTAAAATTTAATCTCACTCTGTACAGACTAGAATGAGAAATGAGGCTCAGTTTGAAAGATTTTGAAGATTTATGCCAGGTGGCAGTAGTAAATGCAATGGAATTGCTTTTTCCCCAAACTCTTCCAGAAATGTTCTTTTCTCTGTTGTTGTGCCAGGCACCTGGTCAGTTTTCCCACTAAGACCCAGTGTCAGCAATGCCTTCTCTTCTGAGCAGGTTTGTGTCAGATTCCGCACATATTCAGAAGCCAAGATATATGTAGACAAAATTCCACCTTAGAAATACCCAGAGAAAGCTGCATTTTTAATAGGATGTCATTTCAAAAATCAAGTTAGAGTGTAAGAAATTAACTGAGAAGATTTGGGTCTAAAAGAGCTCATACACATATGTAGTTCTTGACTAACCGTTATTGACTCTGCAATTTCAGTTAAGTTATGATGGTCATGAAATTGGTTACCACAGGACAGAACCTGATTTTATTATCCCTTTTTTGCCAGTTAAGTGAATGTGGCAGTTGTAAAGCAAACTCAAGAGTTTGCTATCAGATGGTTTTTGCTTGAAAGTGGAAGTAAACACCAGTTTCCACCAGAAAGCCACACTGCAGTCACATGATGTGGGGCATTGCAAACCGCGATAAATGCATGCTTGTTGCCAAGCAACCAAAATGCAGTCATGTGACATGTTTGTGTGTGTGAGTTGGAACATGGAAACTGGGCAATAAGTAGCTTTCAGGAGGTCCTAAGTGACAAGTTGTAAGTTGAGGACTACCAGTACACTCATTGGAAGGGACATAATATAGTTTGCTATATAGGTTGCCAGATTCAAATCATCTTATTGGCATTTTGTTTTCATATTCCAAAGGAGGACCTACATGTTAAGAGTACAGACCCCCTACATCGTTAGATGTAGGCAATGCATACCAGTTCCAAGAGAAATATGGGAGAAAAAAGATTGCATAAAATGGGAGGCAGCTAGAGTCAGATTACAGGAGGAAGGGGTGTTAAGCCAAAACAAAAATAGCACAATAATACAGGTAGGAAAAAAACAGAAGCAAAGAATACGGAAGACATTTATTGAAAGCCAAAATAAAAAGTAGTACAGATAGGCAATTGACTGTTTTCTACAATCCAAACAAGCAAATAGCTAAACACTACAGAAAAGGGTACTACGTTTTGTTATAAAATATGTTTAATTTCAATTTTTTTTTTGCATTACATTTTTTTTAAGCCAGGCAATCAAATTTGTGGTGTGTTTGGTAGCCCTCCCATCCCGACCCCAATACTGAACCTTTAATAGTTGGTTATCAAAATATACAATACATTTGTTTTGCTGTAAAAACTCGAGTTCTGCCATCCCCTCATGTCTTACAACAGGTATAAAAAATTATAAATATTTACACCCTTTTTTTTTCTCATTACTCACATTTACATGCAAAAAAAAAAAGGAAGAAAAAAGAAAAAACACGGGATCAGAAAAAAGACGAAGCCCCTCTTCCCAATTAATTGCAATAAGGTTTTGTGTGCTTCTTGGAAAAACACACCCAAACACACAAAGAAAAATCTTAATGTGTTGCTGACTGATTCAAGTTACCAAAGATTCAGCAGGAAGGCTGCGTTCCGGGGATAAGAGAGGCTTATGGGACATTTAGCAAGTTAAACTTCAGACAATTCTAGCCAAGGTTCTGCTAGGATCTAGTGTTACCTCCGAGTGCCACTGGTGGCGGAGTTAACGTGAAGGCCTAAATCCCAAAGGATCTTTAGCACTTGTCCCTTTAACTTTTAATATTGTTCTGGTGAATGTCCAAAGTATTGGCTGTGAGCTTGCAGCCACTGGGAAATTACCCCCCCCTCCTTTTCTAATGCCCCTCACCCTTGTTCTGGACATTTAGAACAGGACTAGGGATGTAGGGAGGACTCTTATTCCTCCACTGCCTGCAAGGGGCTCTAAATCCTCCAAGAATGGCTACTGCCAATCTTGCCTGCCAGCCCAGTATTGTAGAGTAAGGAAAGGAAACAAGAGGCTTTTACTGTCTATTCCCAACAACTCATTTGAAACTATGGCTTAACTGGGGAAAGCCAGCCAAGAACACAATTCAACTACAGGGCAAGAGACTTTTTACACAGACATAATGTTCTCCAACAGCACCGCATAAAGACTACCCAGTGGCCAAGCTCTTGCTCTGGGCCAGCCTCCGGCGATCTCTATCTGTGACTGCAGAAGTTTGGAATGGAGCTGCCCTGTGCATGTGGTCAGACACCCCTCCAACTTCTGCCATGCTGCTCCTTTGCCCCCAAAGTTAACACCCTCTTATTGTGTGAATCAATATTTGTGATGAGAAACTCCAATAGGGGGATTGTTTAGCAGATTGTGTTAGTTTTAACTTTCTGAGGTGGTACTTACGTTTGGCCAAAAGAGGACAGTTCTTAAATAGCTCAAACCTGTATTATATGCTGGCAATCCAAGCAGAACCTCACTCAAAATATCACACATTCCTCCAGCATAGTTTGGTTCCCCATAATATTGGGGAGGATTTTTTTACAAAAAAAAAAAAAAGTTAAGACTTTCCCAAAAGCAATGGACAAAAGCACATCAACAGCTCATGTGAAACAGCAAGGAACACGGTGACTTGAGAGACAACATCACATACATTGAAAAAAATAACTTTGGTCCACAATTTGAGTAAGTAACCCTGATATTAAGTATAAGATTCTGGTTTATCTTTAAAAATCTTACATGAGTTGGAGCGCAATGTAAGGCAACACTGGAATACAAAGAAGGTAGATCAGCATGGAAAAGTTGGAGGCCATTTTAGGTGCTACTCTGAAAAAGGTGTTAAGTTTATATTCATTAAATAAAAGCATGGTTATTAAACTAAGAAGACCCTTTAAACGTGGATCTCCTTTTTCAAAACAAGTGATGGTCGCTACTTTAAATATTGTTCAAAGTATAACATTAATTTTCAGCCATGAAATCACCTTGATAAACTAAATTCCTGCACTAGTTTTCCAGCTTACAAACAAAAATACAAGAGTACAGGATACAAGGGTAATAGAAAAGCAAGTCAAATATATTCATACCATCTTATCTATAAAAGAAAATATACTATTGCCTTTTTATATATGAATTAATATGAATATTTGGTCAACTGGAAAGTATTGCTAGGCAAAACAGATTGTATGTAAAAATAATAATAAAAGGAATTAAAACAAGAAATTGAAGCTACTACAAGAGAGGTCTTGCTGTAAGGGGTGAATCTAGGAGTGGAGTTTAAATGGCATCTTAACCCTTTAAGTAAGAGTCCAAAATATATTAATCTCAAACTCAAGTTCAAGGAATTTGATACTCCAAAGAGATCTGTTCTTAGATTTCAATTTATGAAATCTGGGACTACTTGTATCAAACAGAACCCGATGAAACTTACTGCAGACAATGAAATGGTGATGAGCAGGATAAGGAAACTTCCCTCTTCCTACATCCCTCCATCAATCTGAGTTTCAATAGACTATTAATGAAGGATTTCTTTTTAATCAGCCTTCACTGTGAGAAACATTGTGGGCATGGAAATTAACACAACCTGTAAGGTAAGTCACTTTAGGGAGAAATGTCTAGATTGCTTAACTGAGAAAAGCATCTGTATTGTCTCCTCCTCTGTGGAAGACAGTAGCCTTCAACTTTTCCCAGTATCTACTGTTCCTTCTACCTCAGGTAAAGAAAATGTCTAAGGCACCAGAGGATAATCAATGAAAGGCTGAGGAAAAAGGCAATGTTTCTGCTCCCTTTCCCCTTCCCAAGGCAACTGTGTTTAGGGAATAATAAAAAAAGATTCTAAAGCTAACTGCACAGTTTGGGGGTCTCTTCCAGAGCTCATAGATAAAGGCATCACTGTGAAGTTGACAAGCTGTTTGAGGGAGGGGGGGGACTGTTTTGTTTAAGTATGGGAGAGAAGGTAAAAGACTCCCAGAGAGGCTTCCAACAAAGAATGTAAACGTTTACGCTTGTGATTTTTTTTTTTCTTGGTCAAAGATTGTTACCTCATTCTCTGCAAGAAAGATTATAGCAATGTGAATTAAGATTTGCTCGTTGTTTGTTTGTTTTTTTAAAAAAACAGTAAACTGTTTTCTTCCTTAAAAAAATAAAATCTGTTTTAAGGTCACTTCAGTTGCATTCTCTCTCTCTCTTTTTCTTATAAAGTGGCTTCTTTTTGTTTCTGGAATGATGGAAGTTGTCCCACCCCATGCTGGTGGTCCAGCCATTGAAAAAAAAAAATGCAAGGCTGAGCCTAATAAGAAGAGTGGTGATTTGTTTTTCAGCCAGGTCCATCGTGCTGCATGCTTTTCCAAAGCACTTAAATTGTGGATTTTGAAAAGGACACACGCAAGTGGTGGTTTTCACCAAGGTCGTGGTTATGGAGGTCGATGAGTGACTGAATGGCTTCTTCCACGGATCCCATCTGGATGAGAGCCATCTTGCGGTCTCTCCTGCCAAAAACAACTTCGGTCAGAGGAACAAGCAAGTGTGTCCTGGACAAAATTAAAATTCCTTTCAAATATTAAGATTCTAGCATCAGCAATAGCACTAAAGACTTACATACCACTTCATAGTGCTTTACAGCCTTCTCTAAGAGGTTTTACAGAGTCACCCCTAACAATCTGGGTCCTCATTTTACCCGCCTTGGAAGGATGGAAGGCTGAGTCAACCTTGAGCCTGGTGAGATTTGAACTGCCAAACTGCAGCAGAAGTGGCCTGTAGTACTACACTCTAACCACTGTGCCACTGAGCCAACTATCATGGAAAGTAAGTAATCCTTTACATTCCGATGGGTGATTTCATGGAGAATTTCTTATGAAAAAATAAGCTAACACTTTTTTCATAGGCTTTAAATTAAGAGAAATGTTAAAAGCCGGATACAAAATCCAACAGCTATACATATAATTATCAACCTATGACCATAATTGGGCCTGGAATTTCCATCGTAACTTGTTGAGGTTGTAAGTTGAGTCAGACCTGATTTTGTGACAAATTTTACAGTGGTCATTTAAGGAAATCACTGCAGTCATCAAGCAAGTACAGCTTCCCCAATGGGCTTTTTTTTTTTTACTGAAAATTTGCCAAATTGTACCAAATTGCAATCATTACTGCAGGGTGCTGCAACTGGTTATGTGAGCCAGCTGCCCAGTGCCCAAATTGCAATCATATGACCACAGGGCAGCTGTAATTGTCAGCTACAGGTCATAAGTCACTTTTTCCAAAGCCATTGTAACTTAGAACCAGTGTTAAACAGTCTAAGTTGAGGACTTACCTGTACTAATTTATATAGAACCAGTCATTCTTGGTTTGACCTAATTACTCCCTTTCCAGCCTTAAATATTATCCTGACCCCCAAAAAATAAATGGTGGGGGGGGGGAGGAGAAGAGAGAATGGACTCTGCTGTTTGGCACAAATGTTTTTGTGACGGCAGGAGCCCCAAACTGTATCCTCAACTCACAAATGGGCAATTACTCAGAGGACATACCCAAAGTACCCCCAGTTTAAGAAAGACTGCTCCATCTATTGCCCGTAGAAAGCTAGGCGTTCAGAGAAACCTTCAGAGGAGCAGGGAATCCCCAAGCATGAAGCAGAAAAGCATTCAAGGAAACCACTGGTTGTCATCCTCCCTTCTCCAGGGAAACTAAGACCACTTACTGGAAGAATTTGAAGCCTTTCACCATCCCACCATTGCTTGAGAAGAGCAGCTTGAGATCGTCTTCTATTATTGAAGGCCTGGAGCAGGAACAATAATTGGGGACAAATTGAACAGATTAAAAAAATGTGGAATCCTTGCTTCATTTCTGCAAACATCAAGTATCATTCCAATGTCATTTATTTCCAATCACAATTCTATGACTTATAGAATTGTCAGTCATTAACAGAAAAAGACGTCTAAATAATTTTCCCCTCTAATATAGACCAATGATAATCAGCAAGGTACATACAAACAAGGCTATTCACAAGTTACCACGACCAAGGAGGACGTATCTTCCACTTTCCGATCATATGCCAACTGCTCCCAGGCAAATCCAGAGTGCCATCACCTGGATGTGTTGAGCCTGTTCCAAGTGGGACAAGCTCACAGGCATCATGGAGGCGATGAATTTCTGAGCTACCCTGAACTTAGTCACATTGCATTTGAGGCACATGACAAGCTCACATAAGATCCCAACACAAAAAATGCAGGGCTACTTGTTACTTAAAGGTATTTACATACTATGCTCAAAATTAAGTTTGAGAGCCTGTTTTAATTAAGAAATCTTGTTTCCCCCAAATATCTGTGTGACGGCTATAGCACTGGGCAAATCTAGAATACAAGTATTAGCTGCCCATTTCTTCTCTCCTTGTCTCTGAAGCTGACATCTTTCTCCCAAACAGCAAACTACCATAGAAAAAGATTAGATAATCCTTGCTAGGGGACTGAACTCATTATTTATATGTTGTATCTGAAATTGTTGCTCTTGCCCCAAATACAGGGCCTCAGGGATCTGAGCTTATCAGCCACCAGTTTGAGCACAAAATCTCATCTGAGACTCAGTATATCTGAGATCAATGGGAGAGTAGATAAGGGAGAAGCTGAATAAATGGAGAATATGCAGGATCTTCTCTGCTGATACAAATCCATGTACCAAGTTGATACACTCGAAGCCCTGAGAAAACTTATTATATGACAAAGTCATGACATAACTGTCATGTTACGAATTGCTCTTAGACCTGAAAACAAGCAAGCAAATTAGCCAAACCCCTGTAATCTTAGGACTGTTTTCCTTGAACACAAGTAGACTACTTACGGAATATTGGAGAGGTGAAGAGTGGCAGAAGGGGGAAAGATGTTTTGAAAGTTCTTGGAACCCGGCTTCTTAAAGCGATGAAGAGGAGAGTTGCCATAATCCTTGGTCAGTCCTTGGTCTTCCTGTCCTTCACGGGGCAACTGCACTGTCTGGTGTTTTGACAGAGTGATGCGGATAGGCTTCCCATGCAGCTTTTGACCATTGAGATGGCTCATGGCTGCCATAAATTGAGAAAAAGGAGAATGAACCTATAGTAGTTTAGCTTCCGTGGAGACTCAAATGCATTATTTGATGGACTTGTACAAACCTGTCTGCCACCAGGTACAAAAAGTTCCACTTTCAATACTGCATAGCATTTAATTTGTCAAGAAATAAAACTGTGCTGATGTAAAGCTCACTGCATAAGACCTTGGTTCAGACAATGCCAAAATCCCTTAGCTGTGCTATTCTCATAGGACAGCCAAAGGGTTCCTGACATACATAGATAGAAAACTTGAGGAATGGGTTTAATAAGAAAATACAAGTTGTCCTTGACTTACAACCATTCATTGAACATCCAAAATGGTCCTTATGATTTTTGCAGCACATGATCAAAATTCGGTCACATGATCAAAATTCAGCTCTTGGCAACCAGCCATGTATTTATATCAGTTGCAATGTCCCGGGGTCACGTGACTGCAATTTGTGATCTTCCTAATCAGCCTCTGGCAAGCAAAGTCAAGGGGGGGAAGCCAGATCCGCTTAATAACTGCACAATTCACTTAACAACTAAAGTGGCAAAAAAGTCATACAAGTGAATGTGACTCATTTAACAACCACCTTGCTTAGTAACAGAAATTCTGGTCCAATTATGGTCATGACTACTAGTATTCTGTCTACTATAAATGCCACTTGGGGAAAGAAATTATTAAATTAGCAATAAGGAATGCCGTCTTCCCTTTCTGCTGCTTTCAACATATAAACAGGGTCCTTCTGCCCCGAGACCAAGAAAATAGAACAATCTGCACTTTCTCTTCAAAAAAATTTTTTATATATATTTAGGCAGTAACCTTAAGAATGATTAAGCCACCCTGAGAGCCTACAGTTGAAGAAAAGAAAAAAATGCTTTAAGTAATGAAAAAAATCTAAGTGGTATTCTCTCAAGGATAAGCAATAAGGTTCATTGTTAAATTCAGAGCTAAGTCTATTTTTCTGTCATCAAGACAAGAGGACAAATTGGTATGGATGGAACATAGCTTACGTTATACTCTGCTCTAGGCTAAAAGGATGACATTCTTCATATGTCGTTATTTGCAGTCTTAACCTGATTCTTGGGGTGGAATAATCAATAAAATGACATTCCTAGCTCAAAAACCTGTTCATGGAAGAATGCAGAGAATCGGTTCCTACATTTCCATCCCTTAACTGAAAGATGTGAGTTTGAAAATGTATGTTAACAAAACTAATTTCTGATCTGGACAGATAACAGCTTTCGTAATGCTCGGCAATTCTTAAGAAAAAAAAAGTATGTTACAGCTATATATTGCCACAAAGTTTAATCATATAAAAGGCACAA